CAATGATTTCTATGGCCGGGATGTTTGCATAGGGACAATGAGCAAATCGATACGTGGTTTGCGAAGAGTGGTGGAGTAGAAGAGAGGATTTCAAAAAGGGTGATAACAAGCACTACATATTACACTTATAGCTTCAGGTAAGGTTGCCACTGTTCTATGATTGTAAGTCTAGAGCAGGAGTGTCAAACTCATTTTGTTCCGGGGGCCGTATCCAACCTACTTTGATCCCAAAGGGGCCGGATCAGAAAACTCATGGTATATAAAGCCCAAAAACAGCAATAAGCTCAAATATTTGTGCAGAGAAATGCAAATCTATTACAGAAATCTTTTTTTATTGATGAATTATTTCTTTTACATAATATTATGGGCACCTCCCTCGGGAGGTGTTCCGGGCATGTCCCACCGGGAGGAGGCCCCGGGGAAGACCCAGGACACGCTGGAGGGACTATGTCTCTCGGCTGGCCTGGGAACGCCTCGGGGTCCCCCCGGAGGAGCTGGAGGATGTGTCTGGGGTGAAGGAAGTCTGGGAGTCCCTGCTTAGGCTGCTGCCCCCGCGACCCGGCCCCGGATAAGCGGATGAAAATGGATGGATGGATGGACATAATATTATATTATGAACAACCTGAAACTTCATTCCTCCATTTTCTTACGGTCAACAGTCAAAACGATCGTCCTTTAAGAGCGTTTGGAAAGAGACAAGTCTTCATTTGTGCTGCTCTGGTGGGAGGGGCCACGTACAGAGACGCTGGAGACGCTGCTATGAAAAGCGCCGCAGAAAATTACCAATATTTTAATAGAAAATATTATTGAAATATTTTAGTAGAAAATTAGTAGAGGGCCAGATTAAAGGTCTTGGAGGGACGGATCTGGCCCCCGGGCCGTATGTTTGACACCTGTGGTCTAGAGGATAAAGCTGGGCAATTAAAACATTTTTTATCAGTCGTTTCAAATCGTCAACGATCAGCTCGGGTTTGTAAATCAACAGGTTTTCATCCAATCCACAGTCAAAAGTCTCACAATAATATCACCAGCTGTCACAATATAAATCGAATTACAAGTTTCTTTGCTTAAATGCGTTGTTTTATATAGGGATGGGCATGATTAGTCAATTAATCGATAATTGATCATTAAGAATTTCATCGATTACGTTCATTTTAAATCAACAAACCAAATGTAGGTTGCTGTGCGTAGTGACCAAACGGGTCAGTACATGTCGCTCTCTGCACTCAGAAGGAGCGAGACACAAACAGTCGGTCAGTCTGCAACGTGCCGAAGCGCAAATGCATATTTAACGATGATTTGTACAAGAAATTCCACACTTTCCGTTGCGTTCGGGACAAGTTTGAGTCCATGTGCACAGTGAACAAAGCAGGAACATATGTTTCAGTGTCCAGTGGAAAAAAAAGCTCACCAGGACACTGAAAACATGAAAAAGTTTTGCCAGGTTTATGTCCTCTCCCTGCACCTAAGTATCAGATTTTGTAAATCTGACATGTCAAACTCAAATTTGGCCCGCAATATAATTATATTTGGCCCACGAGATCACATCAAATATGTATTAGAGCTGCCCGCCGGCTACAGATAGACATTATTTATTTAAAATTTTGTTATTGTTTTATATTTTGCTTGTTCTGGATTCAATGTTTAAGCAAAATTATAATTAAACATTGATTTTAATAAGAAAAGGTCTCGAAAGAAGATAAAACATGCAGACGCTGTTGAAATTATTCAATAAATATTTAATTTGGTCCACGACTTAGTCCCAGTTTTTAATTTTGGCCCTCTGTGAATTTGAGTTTGGAAATGGTCAGGACTTCTACAGTATTTGTGCAATTCCTCGTCCAGGTATGATCCACAGCAAAAGAAACTGGTCCATTTTTTATTTTTTTTTATTTTTTTTTCCCATCCAAGTGAAACATCTTCAATCTAAAATCTGTTGTAAAATCTACAGTATTATTATTATCATTATTTTATTTTTTATTATTTTTATTTTATAATTTGTCAAGTTTAAGGGATTGGATACCCAGCACATCCACAAAGACAGACTTAACTAAACACGCATAAAAAAAAATAATAAATAATAAAAATAAATAAAATAAATCAATAAGTTAATAACATTAATAATATAATAATAATATTAATAATAATAATTTTTATAATAATTTTAAAAAAGAAGGGGGAGGGGGGGTTAGAGAGGGTGTGTGTAGGGTATGTAGTATTATTTTTTATATATTTTTTTGCTATGGTCAGGACTATTGTACCTCTTCGGTCTTAGATACAGAAAAACATGGCACGGGAAACAAACTTGGAACCTTATCGCTGTGCGGCAAAAGCTAACCGCTATGCCACCGCGTTTCCAAATAGAGCAGCAAAGGCATGAGGGACGTTTGAAAGCCAGACACACTTTGATTCCACCAAAAAGAAGTAATATGTGATGTGGCCCGGGCTGTGCTGGTTGATAATGTTGTGAGGCACTGCTCCCTGTGAAACTAATATGATGCTATCTAATCCTCCACAGTAAATCAAAACCCAAAACGCGTGTCAGAAGCAGTTATTTAGTACGACAGTGACATAAATTACTTCATAAATGATGTATTACACTCTATTTTCATCTCTCAAACTGCCTGGAGAAATGGACAGAAACTTCATCTAATCAATTCTCCAACATGCTGATATGTGCTGTCTCGCAACTTCTGCAAGGAGCTGATGTCTGCTACAATCTGGCCCTGGGGGTTTGATTTTACACTCGCCCAAAGTAAAGCAAAAGTGCATCAGATAGTGTTGATGCTGGTATTTCTCAAATGTATGTGATGTGTAGAAAGGAGAAAATGAGAGGGCTGTTTGCAGACATCAGATATAGGTTCACCCCCAGGTCCAAAACTCCCTCAGGAGCTTTTTTTTCTGATCACGTTTTTTTTTTTTTGTAGGAAGCCAACTTAAATTCACTCCGCGCTTCCTCGCACGCTGGCAAAACCACCGACTCAGCTGCTCCTGCGGAAAGCCAATCTGACTCATTGCTGCTGTCCGTCCTCTAGTCTAGCTGTCCGCCACCTGCTCGTCACCGCGGAGACGTTATCGCTTTGGCGTGAATGTTCCAAAGCGCGGCGTTAATCTTACCTCGATGGAGACGAGCAGCTGACGTCACCGATATTTTCCAATAAACGTACCAGTAACTAAATAAATGCTAGAGTCAAATACTTCTCCTGAAAGCCAATCTGCCACATTGCTGCCATCTATCCTCTAGTCTAAATTTCCATCACCTGCTTGTCACCATGGAGATGTGAAATGTTCCAAAGCAGGACATTAAACTTAAAGACATTCAACTGACATGACAGAAGCATACCGTATTTTTCGGACTATAAGGCGCAATATTAATAATGTTGAATTCTCTTGTCTGTTTTCATACATAAGGCACAATGAATTATAAGCCGCATTAAGCAAAGCAAACGGACGACACTTGAGACTGATCCTTAGCCCAGACGTCCACGATCCATTGGCAGATCGTGGCGTAATTCGCCCGGCGTTGCCTCCCTGTCTTGGAGAATTTGTATTATGAATGTGAATGTGGGTGGACAATTTAAGTTTGTTTTTTTTAATTTCCTATGAGAAGGACTCAAATCTACATTGAGTTTTAACGTATAGTTATTATTAATGCAGCTTTGCGCACATTTGTTTACATTTTACAGAAACGAAACTTGGCTGGAGCGGTTTTGTGGTCAGTTTCTGTCGGACTAAAGGACACGACTCAGTTGAATATACGTGGTTTTTCTGCACCAGAGGATGTGCTGCTGATGGTGAGTGTGTTCTGTGCTTCTATCGCGTTGGAGATGGTTCATGTGAAACTGTTCACAGACTATATACTCTGTGAGGCTCCAGACTACTGTAGCTGTAATGCTCCAACAATCCATCACGTGGTGTGGCTTTGTAGTTTACCAAAGTCACACTAAAACATTTTAACAGATTTTTGAGCACCGTGTACCAAATAAAATTGGTTCAAAGTCAGTCAGCACAACCAGAATTAATACATAAGGAAAATTTAAGGATTTTAAGTGCGCCTTATAGTCCGAAAAATACGGTAATCACTTTTCAATGTTATTTCTTTTTTACTATAAATATATATGCAAATAAAATAAATGTTAGATAAGGTTAATGCTATAACAGGGGTGGGCAAACTACAGGCCAGGGTCCATATGCGGCCCTTTAATCTTTTTAATCCGGCCCACCAAACTTGAATAATTAAAATAATGACAATAATAATTTTCAGTGTTTTAAAAGTCATTTCAGTAAATAGTAAATACTGTGGGACTTGAAAGACAGATATTTAGTTGTAATGCTTTGTAATAATTTTCAATTAGGGGATATTTTAATAACATGATATATGTTTTCTACAAAGCCCATGTTATGTTTTTCTCTTATGAGGTGGATTACCAAAAAAACTCCATCTATCTGCTCCTGGTCCGGCCCTTCCGTCACATTTTAGAACCTTTTGGCCCACGAACCAAAAAGTCTGCCCACCCCAAACAAATCGATCCCCATGGAAGACAAGCAGGTGATGAAACCTTCACCAAAAACACCACACAGTCCATCAGATAAAATAGTCTTGAAGCTAGAGTTTACTCAAATGTATGTGATGGTAGAGCGTAAAAAATTAAAATGCCGTTTGCAGATATCAGATATAGGTTCACCTCCAGCCAAAAACTCTCTCCGGAGATCTTGTAGAAAACCAACTCGAATTCACTCCGCACTTCCTCTGATTCCTCTTTCTGGCAATGCACACCTCACACTCTCGCAAAACCAGCCGACTCAGCTGCTTCTCCTGAAAGTCAATCTCCCTCACTGCTACTATCTATCCTCTAGTCCAGCGGTCCCAAACTCCCAAGCCTTCCCCCCATCCTAAACCCAATCTCTCACCGCATCCGCCATCTGTGCACATTCGGCGTATTCATTCATTACTGCTACTACAGCTGTCCAAGTTTTTTTTTATACATTTTTTGGCTTACCTTCTTGACGCGTCCGCTCTTGGTGCCCACGAAGACCAGAGAGTGGTTCTTGTAGACGTAGGCGATAACAGACGTCATTTTGTCGTTCGCTTCGGTGAAAAGAGGCTTCCCCCGCACCATCTCGGACACACCCAGAGGCGCGTTCATATCCAGACCGCAAAAGTCGTCATCAATGGTCAGGAGCTGTGGAAAAAAAAAACGTAACAGTGAATTTATTTAATATAATGCACTTCTGGATTCTTAACTTATGCCTTTTTTGACACTTTTAGTCTCTTGCTATTTTTGCTACTTACTTTATTATTATAAATTTATGATGACCATTTATATTGTTGCTCTGTGTTATTATAATTTATTGTGATGTGTGAGCGACTGTGTCCAAATAATGTCCTTTGTGGATCAATAAAGTTTGCTGAAATCTAAGTCTAACTTTGTAACTTTTGTGGTGGAAAGTGGACTGTTTGTCACCATGAAGATGTAATTGTTTTACTTTAAATGTTTTAGAGTACTATGATATGAAACATTTATCTCCATGAAAACAATCAACTAACACCGACAGGCCTACGGGTTACAGGTCTGATCTGTGGAGAAGGGAGCAGATTCACAGCAAGAATACACCTTTTTAACCTTTTTTCCCCCTTTTTTACTTGGTCCCCAAAGGGTTGACCAGGTTTTAGTATTCACCCTGTGTGTGTGTGTGTGTGTGTGTGTCCTTCCGCGATAATTCTGCCATTTTGTGACCGATTGTCACCAAATTTGGTACGTGGGTCAAGCCACAAAAAAAGTTTGGTGACGATCTGAGGTCATTTGTGGTCACATGAGTCAAGTTGAAGGTCAACGCCATTATGAAGGATAGGCAATTTCGGCAATTTCTGAACCATCTGCGGCCTAAAATATTCAACCAATCATCACACAAGTTGGCACACACATAACAGAGGTATGGGCTGGGCTCCTCATAAGCTGCTTCTGTGGTGATGAACTGCCCCCACCGATGCCTCATGGGGGACCAGGTTGAGATCTCTGATTGTGCTTGTTTTTTTTTTTGTTTTTTTAATTAGGTAAATGCTAGCCTGATTCATCAGCCGGTTTCACTTTGTAGAAACCGTCTGACCTCGCAGCATTAGGATTCCTTCTCTCGACTGTAGGCGGGTACTTTTTTCATTTAACCAATCACTGCTATTTGGTCGTGACATATGTAATGTGCAGCTAACACATTATTAACACAGTATATTAATCCCGTAGGAAGAAAGGCTCAAACTCACACTTCCAGGGTTTTTGTGAACCTGACCTAGACCCTGGAGAGAAATGAAATTGAATGGAGGCACTAGGTGGCGCCAGCCTGATTCATCAGCCGGTTTTACTTCCTTTCACTTTGTAGAAACCGTCTGACCTCACAGTCTTAGATTTCGTTCGCCTGACGGTAGGCGGGTACTCTTTATCATTTAACCAATCACTGCCATTTGGTCATGATGTATGAAGTGTGTCACTAACGGGGCTAACTGGTATATTAAACTTTTCCCAAATCCCGTAGGAAGAAGGGCAATAACGTCTTTCCCCTTGATGAAATTCACGAAACATTCTCTTTGTTCCAACTTTAAATCCTCGATCTTGGGAATTGTTGCCAACACTGAATGTATGGCTCTTCGCTGATTGGCTGGTGCCCAAACTTGCACTTCCAGGGTTTTTGCGAACTGTCTATTGTATTCTGATTCCTAATCTAGTCGCTGGTGAGAAATGAAATAGAGCGGAGGCACTAGGTGGCCAGAAAAGTTACACAGTGCACCTAAATAGCACTACATAGCCCCAGTGTATGTTTAGAAGTGTAAGTCAAGTGTGGCCAGAGTTGCCTTGGGGCAAATTGACAGAAATGTACCCATCAATCTGTGCCTTTGACCTGAGACACCTGACCACCACCATCAAACTAACTAACACAATCAACCCCAAAAACATAAAGCTCATACAGGGGATCCAACTACCAACTTTTTTCTTGTGCTTTTAGTGCATGCAGCCGTTGTTTTTAAAGTGCTCTGTGATTGTGACTGAATTTAAACTGGTAGATTAGAAGAGAAATAACGTTTAATGAAGTGAACTTGTTTTGCGATAAGCGTTCACAAATGGACTAAAACAAGAACAAACTTATAGTGCAGAAAGTAATGTTTAAATCTGTATGCACGCTCTGCCTCTCTGGTTCACGTCCAAGAAACGGCAGAAAGAAAATAGAGCGTAAATATATAAAAATGACAGACGAAGATGGGAGCGGACTGCAGTAGTCAGGCCGGTCTCAGTAATAGTGCTGGAGGCTGCAGTGTCAGGCCCAATTCCCCATCGTCCACCAGCAAAACAGAAAACGCCAGAACAGCAACATCCCCCGAAATGATTCACCGTGAACCAGGCGAAATACAGACGAGGAGCAGCTTTGTCATACGGCTCTGAGAAAATCTGCGACGATGCGTGAAATTTAGGACACAGGGAGTTCAATGCTGGATGGATGGTAAAGAATTAGGTAACGCTTTAAATGAACTAAACCTGAATTAGCCTTAAAGGGTAAATATTACGCAATTTTCTGATCTATGTTCAAAAAATACACCTGGAGTTGTGTTTTGTTTCATTCACACGTTTAACACACAAACCCTGCATATTTAGGCTGTTTAAAAGGTCTTCTCTCAAACAAGAAACACTCTGTTCCACCTTGTGATGTCATTTGGTAATACAGGAAGTGCTCCAATGTGTTTTTAAACTCCGAACACCTTCACTAGAATCATGTGGATAATTTCAGCCTTTGAATTTTCGCAACTCTAGTAAGCAAAAGTAAAGTAAGTAAGTCTTTATTTATATAGCGCTTTTCACAGACATTTTCTGTCCCCAAAGACGCTTTACAGAGCATTATTCAGCATTATTCATTCACTCTATACCTGGTGATGGTAATCTACTGTTGTAGCCACAGCTGCCCTGGGGCACACTGACAGAGGCGCGGCTGCCATGCCAATCAGCACCATCGGTCCCTCTGACCACCACCATCACTCACACACACACCACTTTCATACTAGACAATGTGGGTGAAGTGTCTTGCCTAAGGACACAATGATTGAATTGATTGTATTTAACTGACCTTGACTATCAACTGTTCATGGAGACGTATGTAGCATGTTTTGGGTTGTAAAAGGTAAAAGGTAGCTGTTTACTTGAAAACTACTGCTTCATGACATCACAAGGTGGAACAGAACATTTTGAGCTTTGAAGATGGAGGGAGACTAATAATGAATGTCTTTGTACCAAGGTACTTCACTTAATGGTATACGAGGTAATGATCTTCCCATCCATCCATTTTCTTCCGCTTATCCGGGGCCGGGTCACGGGTCAAGCAGTCTGAACAGGTACTCCCAGACTTCCTTCACCCCAGACACTTCCTCCAGCTCCTTTGGGGGGACCCAGAGGCATTTCAAGCTCAGCCAAGAGACATAGTCCCTCCAGCATGTCCTGGGTCTTTCCCGGGGCCTCCTCCAGGTTTAACATGCCCAGAACACCTCCCGAGGAAGGGGCCCAGGAGGAATCTGGAACAAATACCCGATTCATCTCAGCTGCTTCTCTCGACGTGGAGGAGCAGCTGCTCTACTCCGAGCTCCTCCCGTGTGACTGAGCTCCTCACCCTATCTCTAAGGGAGCGCCCAGCCACCCTGCGGAGGAAACTCATTTTGACCGCTTGTGTCCGTGATCTCGTCCTTTGGGTCATTACCCAGAGCTCATGACCATAAATAAGGGGAGGAACATAGATTGAGCGGTAAATCGAGAGCTTTGCCTTTCAGCTCAGCTCCTCTTCACCTCAACGGTTCGATACAGCAACAACATCACTGCCAACGCTGCACCGATCCGCCTGTCAATCTCACGCTCCGTCCTCCCCTCCCCACTCATGAACCGAGACACTTAAACTCCTCCACTTGAGGCAGGCCAGGTAATGATCTTGTGCATTATTTTGCAGTTTTATACAGATAAACTAATCATTCATACAAGCTGCACTATGTAACTTTCTCCATGATCAAGTTAAAAGTCAGAGTTGTTGCAATACAAACACCTGTAACTGAACACATAGATGATTTATAGTAAAAAGTATAACGCAATACTGTGGAAAATTCCAGGCAAAGCAATAACATGGACACTATTATGGACTCCAGAAAGTGGCAAACATTATCAGAAAAGTTACATAATGCTACTACATACAGATACTACAACTCCAGCTGCAAACTAATCCAAACGTTAATATAAATACTTTTACACTGAAAATAAGTTGGATTGCAATTCTTATTTACTTCTACTTCAGAAAGAGTTAATTTGAAGTCGCAATAACTTCATAGCTCGAGTACAGTTTTGACTCTGCTTCTCCCCCCTGCTACGCCAACTTGTTCTTATGTAATTGATTATTTTCTGCCAATTATGATTAGCACATTGCCCATATAAAAACACAACAGACTCTGCCAACAGTTGCTTTCTGCTCTGCGCGCCGATGCCCGCTTTCTCCTGCTGGGCGTTCTCACTGTGGGCAAAATGATTTATAGGTTTTGATAAAGTATAATGGTGGTTCGGATTGGTCATTATGCTGCGTGTATAGATGGATTTGAAATGCACTGACTTCAAAACAGAGCCAGCCTTTGCTTGATTAATAGCTTGGCAATGCGAATGCTAACTTGGAGGACAAAAGCTATTCATATACACGCACAGAGAGCCCAAAATCACACACAGGGTGGATTAAAACCTTCTGAAATGTGTGTCTGACAAAGTGGGAAATGCATTTAAAAATCACTAATACGATTATAGACCAATTACGTAATGTTGTGTACAAGTTGTAAACGTTGTTCGCTGAAATAGAGCTTTGATAAAAACTTGAGTTATTTTGGTGCTGTTGTTATGGAACATTTCTGGAGGGTGAATGGTCAACCAAGGGCAAATTGAATGAGTATTTTTGAGCTATTAAAACTCTCACAAAAAGAACACATTTCCAAATGTAGCCTGAGTATTTTACTTCATTATATCTCTTAAAAGATATTTAAAGGTGAGCTGCGTAACATTTCAAGTAGAGGGTCTGCCACCTGCTTGTCTCCATGGAGATGTTATTGCTTTGTCAAGAATGTTCCACAGTGTTAATCAAACCTATCTATCACAAGGGAAACAGACAGGTTACAGCATGACGCTAC